TAACATTATTATTCGATTGTATTTATTCTTGCTCCTACCTCTGGTTGTCTTTTGGCATATATATTTTCCTTTTTCGGTTCGCCTGCGGTAATTAACACAACATCATTTGCAAATTCCAAATTATTAGCGACACTTCTTGGTTTCGCTTAACATTGTTTCATGTCAGTTGCCTTATTTGACCGCTATACTTTGTCTGATACCTTGTGAACTGATTACTTCTGTTCCATGAAGTCGGTTTTGCAGCACGTCTTCTGTTTGCCTTATAGCGTTTTCTATCAGTTACTGGTGCTTATTTATATTTATAATATAATTACAATCTTCCATTTGATTGTTCATCGGTGGAAAAACCCCATTCGACCTACCTTTTTTAGTAAGATATTTTTCCTTAACTATTAATTTCGTTAACATTTTTGATAAGGTCAAATTAAGTTTCTGTACCAGTCGGAAAAAGTACCGTTCGGGTACAATAAGTTTTATATGCGCCCACGTTTTCTCTTTCAGATCTTTTTCTGTAACATTCTGAACAACTCTCACATTATCATAATTTAGTCATTGGATGATGTCTTTTGAACAGTACAAATCGGGAAAATGCAGTTTAAAGGCTTCCAACGGCATATAGAATTCAAGTAGTCAAAATTCGGATTTCATATCAGCTCAAAATTACTAAAATAGACTGTAACCAAGGCGTTGTTTGACAAATTTGTTACACTTCTTCCACTCATTCCTCATTAGCTGACTCCAGTCCAGCACTTTTCCGCCCACTCGACGTTATGCAGTTTTGACGAGTGGATTTTGATACACATAGACATGACTAAAAATATATACGAACCAACTTCATTGACAGACACCAAGCTTTATATGTGATGAAAAATCAATCTCGAAATGATATTCAGGCCATAGTGTATCATAAACTTAAGACCATGGCACATTGTCATTCGACCAAATCTAAAGTATTTTAAATTTTATGAGCATCACGAAGAAATTTCATTCGACTGGACATGAATATATTCAACACATGTTACACTTCCCTGGTGAAGTGTTTTGAAAAATGAGTGTATGCCACAAGCATCTGTTTGACATTAGAACTAAATTATATGTGCAGTTCCAGAAATACTAGTTATACCATATCCAACTTGACTTATGAAGTTTAAGTTTTTTCTCTGTCCTGCTTCGGATTAGAGGACAAGTTCGTAGAATTATGGTCTACTATGATATTACAACTGCTCTAATAATAGACCTAATCCCAAAATTGTAGATTTGTCATGATATAACTGCTTAATCTATAAGATCTTACGTGGAAGTCACACCATCGATTACACCAACTCACTGTACCGTATCAATTACCAATACATGATGTAAAACAAGGTGAGGCTAGAGAAGGAACAATATATTTAATATGAATAGGAGATATAAGATAACATTCAGAGGGAACACGCCTACATAGCAGAGCAATGCCATCCGATCAACTCCAATTCATTCAACCCCTTTTCCCCACCTTTTTCATCGTTAGGTATTTCTCCGCGTTTAATATTGAATATCTGTTTTCTGAGTAGTCTCGTGTTCAGCTTTGTGGATTGTGTGGTTATTGTCCAATACCACTACAAGTTCACTACGATATGTAATTACAACATGGAACCTATCACAAGAAGTAGTGCCCATAGTTTTAAATGATTTATTCATGTGAAAACCAAAAGTCGTTAAACGCTTACTAGAGAAAAGTTTCACAAGGTTCTTAGCTTTCACCCTAAAATGTTGGTGCCACACTAAAACTTGACTACATTTGTATCCATTGAAAAATATGTTTATCAGTACATAGTTCGAAATTAGTGTCTTATAAATTTCAAATTCTGTACGCGACCGCATTCATCTACCATCCAAGTGATCAAATTCTTCCTTTTTCTATTTTGTGTGTAATCTGCCTAGAATATAAATGGTTACCATTGTTGTTTGATCTTATCACATCACATAGATCTCATCTATGAATTGACTCAAATATACGTTATTTCAACTGTCCCCCATCCTTCCTTTTTTATTTCGTTATATTTTTCTTTAATTTTTCGAATGCCACGACCATCACGCATTCAGAAGACTTTTACTTACAAGTGCTATATTTTATTATTGAACCATCTGTCGTACGCCTGTATACTGAATGACATATAGGAATGTTTGCACGCAGTTGTCACTAAATTTCTCATTTTGTACTAGACTTACAAAATGGGAATAACAGCACTCATTATAAACATGTGGGTAAATGAGTGACATTTCAAATTTTATTTCAAGGGTCACAATACTTTCTCCTTAAGCAAAAGGGTGTTTGTAAAATAACCCCTAGTCACAAATTAGTTAACGGTACCATAATAATTTTACATAAGATAAGTACTTCATTGGAGACTGAGAAGCGAAATGATGCACGATGGAGAAGGCATGAAAGACATCTCCATTTTCTCAAGCGTTAATCAATCTTTATGACCAGATAAAAATAGGTTACAGACACATGATAAATAGGATAAGAAGTATACACACGTACGCTCATATAAAAACAGTCAAGGTTGATAATCTATTAATTACCAAAGTCAAAATGCAAACTGGCCTATCCATAAGCTAAAATAAGTTATTAGGCTTAACATAGTAACCGACATTACAATATAAGGGTACGGATTATACAGTGTGTTCGAAACGTTTAACGAAATATTACTATACATACCGACATGAACAGTAATTGATTTTCTAATTTATTCACTCTGATATCAAAATTTCTTCAATTTTATTGGTTCGTCAATTTCTAAGCACAAAATACTTAAACCACTAATAATTTAAGCTATTAACCAAACATTATTTTCATGCGACTTTATGTAGTCCATCAAAATGTTTCTGTACTAAAACATCCTTGATTATTATAATCCCAATTTGTCTAACTTCTACATAATATTGACGAAGATCCCGGCCTTAACGTGTTGAAAGTCAAATATTTTGTAATTATTAAATGTATTTGCTGACCACTTGTTGCCGCCGTTTTATTTATTTTTTAGTTTATCACTATCAGCAGGAATTCTAGAATTATGGTCTACTTCGTTATTAGTACTGCTCCGATGATGTAACTGCCTAATCTGTAAGATCTTGCGTGGAAGTCACATTACTGTCTACCCTGACTCATTGTATTGTACAGTCAGTAACATATGATGGAAATCACATTTAGATTGGAAATAGAACAATATATTTGATATGAATAAAAGTAATCTTACATAAGTATGACTACGCCTTCAGGGCTGAGCCATGGAGTCCAATGAATTCTATTCCGAGTGAATGTTACTGTGTCCACCATTATTGATTTCTTCTTAGTTTTACATGTCGAAATTATTTTTTCCCTGTTATCCCATGTTCGGCTCTGTTGATCATGGTTAAGATTTAGTGACACTACAGATTTGTATTATTCTTTTGGTAACCACCGTAGTGTATTTAGCCCGCTCGGTTCGGTGTCTAATCAATGTCACGTTGACTATGGTGAGTGAGCATTGTAATGTTATTGGTTCATTGCCACACGATCTTCGACGTTGAATAAAAGATAAATAAGGAAATTCATAATTCACATCTAACACAGGGAGAAGATAAAAAAATGACTAATGTGGTATTAATTGTTCAATATGGTATGGCACGGTCTTGCAGGCGTGGTCGTTCTGTGTGACTTATATTTCTTCACATAGAACATATTATTCTATTCCCAGACTGAATGTATTCTTCGGAAGTTCTATATATTAAGTTTCCGGTTTTCACGTATGACAAGCCAGTAGGGACAATGATATGGCTTCCACGTAAGATTTTGCAGATTGGACGGTCAAATCATGAGAAAACGTCACTCATGGGATAAGGTTTATTATATTGTGAGCAGGGATAACTGAACTTATAAATAATTAGAAAATAATTCTACAAACAACCGTATCAAAAAATACTTAACAACATATTATAGTGAAAACATTCATATAGAGTTGTAACTCTCATGCACTGATTTTAGTCTACTCTTAACCCTTGTTTAAGAAAACATTATGGCTAAATAGATTGAATCTCTCTTGGAAACGGTTAGTTAGTGCGTTACTGATCTGTTCAAGAAAGTAAGGAAAGTCACAAATAATACAGGTAAATATGTGTGCTAACCAAAACTGTTGTCTGATTGACTTACGATTGATTAAGTTCATCAGAATCAAGATTAGAGGTGGAAAAATCACACAACCTTTTCGAACAATAATCATAAGAAATATCCTGGCAGAACAGCCGAATCTGACTGTCTGATCAACTGCAATTCGAAAACTTGTGAATTGAGAATGACAAAATGAAATGAAATGATGACAAAGCACGTACAAATTAGTAATGCAGTAGGTTTTCCGTAGTTACTCGCAGCATGAATAGCAACACTGTTATCGATATCTTTTTATAACATTCATCCCTCATAAAACCCAGCGACCTGTGACTTCAGTGAAATAATTTAGATGTGTGAACTCCTTCATCGATCTATTCATATGCACGCAATCATAACCAACGGATGTGAGGATACGAAAAAGTGAAATATAGCCAATATTTCATAAATACAAACAAGTGATCTTTAACACAATATTACGCCTCTTACCTTGAGATCTATAACTCTGTCACTCCTAGCACAGATGCCTTGCGCAATCGATCGAGAACAGTCTATCTACGATGAGTCACGTTCCTGTGACGACAATTATATTGAGACTTTATTTGTCCAACATCAAACCTACATAAAAATTTTCGTTTCTTAGCTTAAGACGTTTAGTATAGCACGCATATTATGTGATTTAGTAATCGCTCGTTTCACCTCTGCAGATCTCGAAATGATTGGCTCCCATAACCATAGGATCGCGTATAACTCATTTTTCTCACAACTAAGCGACAGTGTTTAGTCACACTAAAGACTCGAAAGAGTGATTTCTCAGGTTATCTGTCTTAAAGGTAATTATATGAAACTTTTTCTTTGAATTTGAATTTTTTCAAGGACCATTATCGGAACCCGCCCAAGACAACTGTCGCGGTACCACATTGTACAATGTGCTTACCAACTGCTGCTCCTCGAAGCTTACCTGGTTGCCCAACGTATGTCAAGTCTAACTATTTCTTAATTTTTTTCGATTAGTCGAAGATCCTGACTTGTTCCATGAGAATCTAGGAATTTTCACCCATTGTTTTGTAAGAGTATAGCCATTTTTCACATATATGCATGTTTCTTTATCCGACATATTGTTAATAAAATCTATCAAAACTAATATGTGGTCTAGATTATCTCTCTTGTGAATACTTTTGTTACTAATTGCTCTGATATTACAAAAGTCGAGACAGACAGGATATATGTGGTAATATTTGTGGGCTTTTAGGATTGCTGTCCCTGTTTCTAAGATATCAATAAGATAACTTTTAATAATACAGTTTTGGTTTCCTCATGAATTAATCTAAAGTTTCAGCATGCTTCAACATAAGAACTGAGGATTAACAGTAATTCTGATCTGTCTCGGTTTTCATGATAGAGTGTAACTAGGAAATTCTTTATTGGCTTTTTTTTTGCTCTTCAACGTGTGCTAACGAAGAAGAATGTATCTTTCAATCAAAGCATTGGGGGCAAATGTGTTTATCCAATGTCTAAATTTGTCCTGAAAATTAAACTGTTTGAGTGCAAAGTCAACTCACGGTTTAGGAAAACAGGTGTCAGACGGCGAATGTTTTGATCCATTTTTTCTTAGGAAGTCTTTAACAGGAAGACACTTTGGAAACGGCTTTGGCAAGTAAAAATAAAGATATTTTAAGGAATTTAAAGTATGAATAACAAGTTCGCGAAGATTACGGAAGGTGAATGAAGCTTAAAAAAGAATTTACTCACTAGTTTTAAGCTGGGTAGTTTCATATGTTCCTCCAAATTCTTTCAGGATTTCACCATTTTGCCTCAACTGAGGCAACTAGTAACTCTTTATCATTATGTGTGTCATTAGACGTCCACTGCTGCGTATAAGTTTCCGTCTTGAGAACAAGCATGAAACTCAGCATAGCTTTTAGTATTTTGAGTCATAGTTTTGCAGTCCGTGGGAAATCACGCCAGTTTTCCCTTTTCTCACACTATTTTAGTCATATTATCCTCGTGTATCTGTGTTCCAGACTGTATGGTTCTAGACTATGTGGTTTATTAGTTTTTCGACCGATTTGGGATTCACTGTCGGTCACCTCAGTGAACAACTTTCTTTTGGAAGCCCCTTAGATGGTATTAGCGATATTAAACCTGTAGATCTGACCTGATTTTATAAAATTCAGTCTAGAGTGTGGTGGTATCGTCTTTTAATGTGTTAATGGAAATCCCGGTCTTTTCCGTACTTCAGCTTAAAGTAAAATGTGTGTTTGCACTTTCTTGCAATGTAACTAATTTTTCCGTAATGTCTTGGGATTGTTTTTTTTTGGCTGACTAGTATTACCCATTATTACGTTTGTAGACAAAGCCAGTTTAGCTGAGGGCGCCGTTTTTTCTTGAAATAGTGACTATTTGTGACATAATCCTAAAGAATTATTGCAAAATAACTCGTCCACTAGCTGAATATTGTGTAGTTAACTTGCAATGCATATGTCCACGAGTCATGTTACATGTTTACGCCCAGATGATTTCCTAGTTTCGTATTTCCAGATGTGTTTATAACAGCAACCCGATTAAATATAACTGAGGAATTCATCCTTCCACAGCTTGTTTGGGTCTATGGCCAGATCTCGGTATCTGAAGACAAGTGAAATCTAGTGCACAGTGTAGGAGGTGCACATGTTCGTGCTAATGCAATTCGAGTATAGTTTATTAGTATTTTTTATTGAAACACATAAACATTGGTATGGGGAGGCACCAAACAGATGTGCGCCACACAAATCATTCGATTTGTGTGAGGACTGAGATTCTGCCCGGGTGCTTCAACGGAAGCGGGTGGTTTTCTTAGAAGACCACACTCAGAGCCTTCGACCTAAAGGTCTGGTCCACAAGGCAGTGAGGTAACATCAGGAGATGCACTCCAATGGTAGCCGGTGACCAACAATCTGTCCATACGCCATTCGTTTCTTCAGGATACTGGAGCCCATGTGCACCAATGGTTTGGAACCAGGGTTTTCCAACTTCCTAAAGTGGACTCTCCGTATCCACCAACCCGGTTAAAGCGCCAGATTATTCGCTTTTCGTCCTCTCAATTTCGTGAACAACAGTAATGCCGCGAGAAGGCATTGAGTAGGACTTCACTGGCAGTGGTTGTATGCATGTGGTCATGTGAGAGCATTTTGAGAGGGAGAGCTGACCCTCCCTACTCTCGGTCGTACCAGAGCATTTAGGGTCATAGTTTATTAGTGATTGTATATTATCAACTAGTATGTCTCGATTGGAATCTACTTATAAAATAAACATTGCCATATGCTCGGTTATATCTGTGTTTGCAAGCTAGGAATTGCTGTTGACCAAAAAACTGAAATATCGGCAACTTGTTAAATGTTTGTTTGCTTTGAAAACAAGATTTATTATAATCAAAACGTTTGCTAGGAATTTCATGTGTGTCATAATTCTTATTAAAGTAGTTGATTGTTCTCAAGTAATGACAATGTTGTGGATCTGTCACTTAGATTCTCTTCTCTTCATGCGATTCCAGTTGCCACATGTTTTATGCTTGGTTGCAAACTGTGTAGGAAAGATCCATTTGATCCTATCATTTTCATCTGCTAATTATCATGAAGTTGAATTGAACCCCTCTAAAAATGTGTGATCAGAGTTCGATGTAATACGTTTAGTTTCAAAAGCGTATAATAGATGTGTTTCTGGATTTTGACAATTTAGAAGTAGTTATTATTTAAATAATGTCAATCGTTAGGTATGGCAACTTGGACCGATGCTTATATGTGCCTGGTCCTACGTTGTAGCTGACTGACTAACTGACAATCGTTATCCCGATTATAATTGTAAATCTGGACCACATAAACATAAAGAAATATTATCATGCATGTTTTCATACGTTATAGTTGTTACACATAAACCTTTAGCAATCAGATTACATTTTGACAGGTGGTTGAATTCAGAAAGTAATCTTCAGCACCCCCAAAGTGAAATGTTAGAAAAATAATTAATGATGTTCATTCTTCGTTGAACTATATACAGATACTATTTAACCAGTTTTTATGTAAGAACCATCTGGTATTTAGGTTAAACAGCCCGTACATAATTCAGAATTTGTCCGTATTTTTTACAGTCGACTATAAACTGTAGAACCTTTTGATATTTGATAAAGTGCACAATCATTTAGTATGTTGATATTTGAACTTTTATGGAATGGATATTGGAATCATGCAATATCTTATCTGCTTTTGCACATAGTCCTCAGTAGAGCAAAATGGAACACAAGCATTGTTTATAATAGAATGGTGGCGTTTTCTCTTATGTGACAATGAATTTATCTAAACAAATTTTGTGGATTTTTTCTTATTGTTTAGAGTTATTGTATTTTTATCTCAAATATTTTAGCAGAAACTACAATAAATCCAGGAAGAAAAATGCATCTTCACATGAAAAAGAAAAACTCAAAGTTGATAATCAATCATACAACCCTTCACTACCTTCAGATTATAATCCTATCATCTCTAAAAACGGTGATCTTCAAGTCAAATCAGAGAATAATTCAAAGGGAAAGCAAACTTATGAGCGTCGTGAGAAGTCGCGTATTGCAGCTAGGCAGAGAAGACATCGTGAAAATCAGGCGCTAGTCGAATTGTACTTAACACTACCGATCCAACAAAATCTGGCTGCCGATGTGCTCAAGAATAAGTGTCACAAGGTTGGACAATTGGGAGAAGATAACCCTGGGCAAATATTAAACGGTCTAACAGAATCTGGTTCATTATTAAATACCATTGGAGAGCTTGATTTCGCCCCGACTTATCGTCTTGCTACAACTATATTTAGACAACACAGCTTGTCCACACCAGTGCTAGAAAAAGCTGTTATTGTGCGCATAGCCAGCAATTCCTTATGTTTGTATAACTGGCTTTATCCTTCGTCTGAACCGGGTTAGCGTAATTTACCCACTGAAGTTTTCTTTTCCTTCTAATCCCCAACTCCGACCTAGTGTGTCAGAGTTATGAGCTGTGCTTTATATATCCTTGAGGTTGGGCAAACAGAACCTAGTTCATTACCGTGTCCATGAATGCAGCTTTTGTGCCACACTTGTTTTTAGTTTTTATTTGGATTTTTTCTCATAAAGGATCGTTTCACTAATTCCTCTACTATTGAAGGATTTATGTTGACGTACTTCTTCGACCCAGTCTACCCAGAACTTCCATTTACTGAAGTTTTGTCACATCATGAAACTCCACCGAAAAGTAATTGTAACAGCAGAGAGTTATATCGTAAGCATGGAAATTACTATAATGGTAAACTCCGAAATGAAGTACTAAGATCTGATGACTGCCAACAGTTTCCACATGAATATACAGTTTTTACACTTAATTCAGTAATTTACTACATGGTTTCATCTTATGAATTTTAAGAAAGCAAAACAAACTGTTGTGGAAAATGAAGCCGAGTATGTAGTGGGGAATATCGTGAACAAACAGCTTTGAAAGTATTACTAACGTTAAAAGTAACCGGTACACTGAAAAGACTTATTCTCTACGACATACTTAGTTTTACGTGATGAATTTCACTTAGCATTATATACTAACCTTGCACCCCTCAAAAAATTTCAGGTAATTAAGCATCGTTTGTTCGGTATTTGAGTGTTAAGAATTCTAAATCTCTTTCATGTCGTAACGAACTTTTAATGTACTAGTATAATGACATATTTCATCTACTAGCTTCTTGATTCAGTTAGTGATGATTTGGTAAGTAACTGTTTCAACCTAATGCTTCGAGAGAAATAAGTCAAACTGTTGACAGGTTATCCTGCTAGCCGTATCTGTTGATTTGATTAAATGGAAACATAAAATTACATAAAATGTTGATGCAATCAAGCTTTTTCAATAGTAAGCATTACAAACACAATAACTTGCTAAATTTCCTCTGTTTTGTTTTTACTTCTTTGCTAATCATTTAATAGATTTTTACTCGACGTCTTCATTTTACGATTGTAATAGGTTGTACTACTACCATACAACTTCGACATTTTCCACATATAATTACGTTATTTTCAAGTGTTATGAAAGCTCGATAGTTTACATAAGTATCAATAAGTGACGCTTTATATGTAGTATTAATTACGCTATTACTAGTTTATTATCTTGGACCTCATTTTCATCCTTACGAAATTCAAGAGTTTACCATCTCGTTAGTTTTATAGGAACTATAATTGGTTTTTAACAACATTTCTAGACTTTGCCTTTATTATTTTTACTTTATTGCTGTAAAAGTACATAATTCATGATTCTCAAAATAATTATGACACATGGCTGAGTTGATTCTGATAATTATATACAGTTTATATGATTGATTCAATCGATTTTCATCTGTTAATTTATGGACCTTTTTCACTATTTTGACCAACTAGGTGGTATTGTAAACTTTCATACAACAAGTGTAATTTACACAATAAATCGAAGTGTTATAACTTTTGATTTGTTTATTTTATATTTACAGATTCAAATATCAAGCCACAAGATAAATTACCATTAGTAGGCTATCACCCAACCGAATCGGATTCGTCATCATCATCTGTTACTTGTACGGAGATGTCAGATTGTTGCGATAATACCACTGCTACTACTAATACTACTACTAGCAGTGGTGGTACCGTTGTTGGTATACATATTCCTCTAACTACTAGTAGCACTCCTGTTTTTCCAAAATCAGTATTGAGTGTACACTCAAAATGTCTGGTTGCTATAATTGTTGATGCTACGCATAATATCATTATTTATGCTCCACCAGCATACACTGAACTAATTGGTTTATCGTGGGTGAGTATTTATTTACAAAAAAACGTGACCTTGTAAAATGTTTATGATAATAATCGGTTTTGCTTTCAAATCTCTATGTTATTGACTTTTGTCTGTTATTAATCAAATCCTTGTTTCTACGATGATTACTTAATTTACAAGTCATTCATTGTAGTATTTATCACTGGTGAATATATTTAGTGATGCCGCAAATCTTAATCGTTTGGATTAACAATAGTGTATTATCATATATGCTGTGTCACTATTTAACTTAAGATTTGTTATTGACTTCAGAAAAAGATTGAAAGGCCTTATGGCTATCAAATAATAAGATTATATCAATCAAAAAAGTTCATTATTTGTTAGCCTTAAGTATAGAATAAATGGAATTTAAAGGAATTACTATAATATGGACTTGGTTTATAAGTTTAGGTGAGTATGAATGATTTTTCGGTTGATGTTATTTCGCAATAAAATTATTTTTAAATGAACACAAAATGTTTGTAGTTGAATTGAAAATTAGTTAGATCATAAAAAGACTGACAAAAAATAGCAAGCACTTCTGTATTGAACCAGTTATCTGCCTGTGAGGTTTCTAGTCAATCAATGTTCTACTCCGATTTTTCTGTGTGGATTTTCTTTATTTAAAAATTAAAATGTGCAAGAAGCAAACAATTACCTTAACATATAACACATATTTTGCAGTGGTAATACGAAGTTGTTATCATCCTTTTCAGGAACTTTATTTTCTGTGCTCAATGTTTAGTTTTGAGAATTATTCTCTTAATTCATTGTATGAACTCATTTATTAAAGTTCTTAATATCAGGTGATATTACGGTATGTTGCTTAATGTTCATGATCCCTAAATCTGTCAGAGTCAAACATTTTTTTTGCTGAAAACAGTTTTTGTTATTACATCGTCTAAATTCCTTTTTCACTCTTATTATTTAAGAACAGCTGTATAGGACAACAGACTGCTTGTCACACATATCATTGAGGAAAAGAAATCTGTGGCCAAAACTACGTTAGAAAAACGTATCATACGTTCGGTGAAGTTAGTGTATTACCATACAAAACTTCTGAATCTGGTTTACGAATCTATCTCACCATTTGATCGTTTGACTCCTTTATTGTTAATTCCTACTCTGGCTATAATGAATGGATAGCTAGTTATTTGTAGGACGTAATCAGACTTCTATAGTTCTTATCATATAGTGATATCTTCAATAATCCCTGATTATTCCAAATTTACAGATTAATTAATTAACTTCACCATAATTTAGCGACAGCTCTCATCAAATTATCAGTCGATTATCTTCCTCAATCAGCTTTAGGGCAGATTCGCAGGTGTCAATAAAAAATGAATGTTGTTTACTACTTAATTTAGTGAAAAATACACTAAAGAGGTCATCAAAATTACCTGATTGATTCAGCTTCCACAAGTATTTATTGCACATCGGTGGTTGTTGTTCACCGTATTAGTCACAGTGAATGTAACTCAATACATTTTTGAATTTTTTCGGAGCCTCATCACCAAGGTTAAGAATCGGTTAAGTTGCTTAGCTATCTATGTAATTACTCTAAGAAAAAAGGCACACCTGTTTATAGTCAATAATGATCAATTACATTGATAATATGTCAAGTGAACCTACCAATGAGACCAATGGGTTATTCACTTTAATTGTATGCGAGGTAAAAGTTAATTTAAGATTACAGCATAACGGAAGTAAAGGCGAATGTTAGTAGTATAAACTATAAGTGAATGTAAGACCTTCAGTTCATAATTTTACAGAGGATTGATTTATGACGTACGAAATCTCAGCAAGTATTCAAAAATCTCGTTTAACTTTTCTCAACTAACGTCACCTATGGCTAAGGCAAGATATCCGTCTATCAATTACAGGACGAGTACACTGTGCGGCAGTTCGTTCTGTTCTACTTCACGGCTGTAAAAAATGACCATTAAGAGTAGAAGATACTCGTAAGCCATTAGTATTTGACAACAGATGTCTTAGAAATATTGCTCGCATCCGCTGGGATCACCTGGTAAGTAATAGTGAGGTTAGACACAGGGTATTAGGAAATGATGGTAAACCAGTTGACGAGGTTGCGAACCTTCATCGACCGAGATGGTCGGGCCACGTGTTACGTGTGCGTGAACACCGACTATCATGACGCACAATGCTGACTAGTGTTTGGGATGGTTAGAAGAAAGTTAGGGGCAGTTAAACCAAATCGTGGCATCAGTCCTTGGAGTCACTAACTTCTGGTCTGTGCCATGTTGTTAGATGCAGACTACTTGCTTGGCGTCCGAGCCACTATCGTAACCAATGGTTGGAGATCATGGGTTACATGGCTGAGAATCGATCACGATGGCGTCGGTGTATACATTATTTGTCTGTCCTTAAACGATGAAATTAAAGTTGCTTCATACCTTTCTTTCTATGAACTAATTCTTTCTTCCTGTTTTATATCCTTATACACAATCTTTCTTTTATATATTACTACCATTGAAGTAACTTTTTCTATGAATTTGTTTTTCATCTTGTTGTGCTGATGAGGTGTGGCAACTTGAACCGAAGCATATATGTGCCTGGTCCTACGTTGTAGCTGACTGATAGATCACAATGATACAAGTATCTCCAACCGATAAGTCTCTAATAAGACTACATGGAAGCTGACAATTACATTACGAATTGTCATCGGAAATGCAGTTAACTTGTAAAAATCAAAACCACACTGGAGAACCCATTTACGAAACTTATATACTAACAAAAACTGATCAACTCAATTTTAGATATCAACAACAGAAAAGCACACATTTTTACAAGTTATACCAAAATATTGTTGTTTTATTTCTAAATATATACACCTTGATGTATTTCTTATAATTGCTCAAAGTTTCGTATTTCATGATGTAAATTTTTATTTCTTGAAATGAATATTAGGTCACTACAATCGGTTTAAAATTGAGCGAATTAATTTCTCGGCAAGTATCAATAGGGGTTTCATCAGAATTAAGGAGTCATAACTGTTGCCATTATCTTCGCAATTTGCAGTATGGTAAATACAGTTCTGTTGAAAATATGATCACAAATCCTAAACAAAAGTCAGTACAATCTGAACTTGGTGATATGGAATATGTTGAATATGACCCAATAGCAATATCTAACCACACACTCAAATCAACACAGATTCATCAACAATTTGAACAACCTTTGTCGTGTGAAATGATTTGGCCATCATCCTGTGGGATAACCGATCGCCCATTGTGTCTCAGTTCTGTTTTACCGAAACCAACATCAGTGTCTTCATCACATATAGAATGCTCAGGACACTCGAACGATGAAATAAATCCAGGAGGTGTACAAAGTTTTCAAGATCCTTCTATTACAAATACATCAATTTCTAAACACATAGCGGAACAGGTATGCATAATATTATGAGTAACTGCACATCACTATTAACAACTTGAATAAGAGAGTGGCATCTGATAATCAACTTTTAGCAAATAATCAGGAAGTACTAGTTTATGTGAGAGTATACCAGAAGATCTTGATAGGTTGACTAAAGTTGCCTCTAAAGATGGTCGTCTAGCTTCTTACTTATAACGACTGGCATTCCCATCAATTTGAAGTTATTCTATTCAGTGAAGACTCAGAGAATGTGTAGTCCTTTAAACACTTAACAATCCATAAATGTTTAAGATACATTCCTCTTCTCCAGAAAAGGAAATGTGGCTTTAGGAAGTGATCTACATTCATCCATCATTTAATAATACTAAACAAAGTAGTTGTGTCAGTGGATTATTTCACTCATTTCGGAATTTTCTTCAAGGTGGGTTGGTGTTTGATACCGTCTCTCATATGAAATGCCCTTAGGACGTTATTTGCTAAGATTATTGTTCTGGTAATAGTTCTTGAGAGTAGCGTTTATTATATTCATTTACCAATCTTTGTCGAGTACGAATAACAGTTAACAAAATGGTCTACTGTTTCAAATAGTCGGTCGATTTATATTCAGAGTTTATTCTATATGGTGAAACAATTTGAGTATGGTTTTATGAATTTAAAAGAACGTTAACTGGTGAATACATTTCATCCTAATAATAAGCTGAAAGTTATCATCTCCAATAGTAAATGTAGAGTGATTAGTTTCGTTTCCAAGTCATTGATTACACACCCTGATATCACTTAGGATTTCGAGACGTTAATTTCTAATGGTTAACGTAGAGCCTGGTACAAATGTGCTTCTACCGAACTTACTATAGAATATGGATAGAGCAGGTTGTTGTTAACAGAATAAGTAGCAGCAGAGCCGAATTAAATACAGTTTCAGTGATACTGAGAATGACAAGGCACTGGAGAACGCTATTTGAGCAGAAGGATTGAATTCAAGGAACAAAAGTTATAAGAAATACTGCAGCTTTAATTCCAGGGAAAAATAAAGCGTAAACGCATTTATGCTCCTAAAATCGATCCTGAACCACTGATCACGATCATCACGCTGACCTTAAGTAGTTGTTCTACGTCTACTCAATAATCAATAGCTTTATGAAATTCAGTTCATGTCTTGCGTTGGCCACCCTAATTTTTCTTCCAGCCAATCTTGCGCATCTGGTAGGTGGTTTGAGGCATGTTGCACATGTCCCACTTATTTCAGTAAATGAAGATTTAGTTTCATCAGGTGATTCTAACAGTGAAAATCAAGATATTCAGACCTAAAATGACAGCAAATACTAAAGATAATTGCATTATATTGTCATTGAATTTTGGTCAATTTTATTTTATCGGCTTGTTTGATAACATAACTGCTGTCAACTCAAGTTTAGTATGATGTTTAGTTTTGTCACTGAGTGAATTTTCGTACAAACATTTACGCATAAGTTAGCTACAGGGCTCTGTTTGTTTGTTTAAAATGTTGAAGGCATTCAAAGTGTTTTCGCCACTTTTTTTGTACACTTGAATATCTGTTTTTACATGCCGAAATTCTTCATACAAAGCATCCTTAATTTTTATTATGACTAAAAACACCTTCTTACACTTTTACCATACTAATTGTTCGTCCCACTTTGAAGGACATTATAGATCTATTTATTGTTGCTTGTTTCAACAAATCTTTAATGTATATCTCTGTCTCTACAAGCTAAGGGTATTTTAATAAACAATCAATCCCTATCACTGTTCAGTAGATCTTCAGTACAACTCTATCTTCGTATTCTCCGTAATTTTCGAGTGATCTAAGTATGCAGTCGTTATCGATTGTAATAAATATTGATCATAATAATAACAATTATAAGAATAGCTCTATTCACCATTATAAATTTTTTTGCATCAAGAAATTCTCAGAATAAATTTCGTTGTACTGCAGTAAATTTCCTTTTAACACATGCTCAAATTGTAATAATTCAAAAATTATATCTATAAATACTTTTTCGGTAGTTAGTATCTCCTACTCATCTTCAATGGTGAATTTTACAATCAGTTTAGTTGTTATAGCCATTTTTTATGCATCAGATGTTGAATAAATGAATTTCAAAGGCTAGACAAAAAGGAGAATGTATCAGCAATTTCACTGCTTCGATATAAGATCCTCAGTATTCAGCATCGCTATAGGTTGTAAGTCTTTCAAAATAACGTGTGAGTACACACAATTAGCATTTATTATTATTCGGTTTGAAAAAATCTAAAAAAAGATGGTTTGTTGCCGTTTTTACACAATTGTAAAATAAATGGCCCAAACGTTTGGGCTGACCACCGCATCCATAAACACTGTTTTCAGTTTGAATAGTTGAGGGGTATTCGTAACCTTTAGTAACTTACTTCAACTCGCTATTCAATAGGAACATGTATATAACCCAGTGAATTGCATTAAATGACTATGTGGGGTTTTCTTAAATGCATTTAGCAAAGTACCCTTAAAACAACTTTTAATTACACTGTAATTAGTAGTGCATTGGTTCTTATGCTCTAATCAAAGACATTTTCAAGCACTTAAAATCATCCATACTACATAATTTTTTCATACAAATTGTTTATTCTGAATGGGACTAATTATTCCAACGCATATAATTTAATATGGTTTATTTCTGCTGTTTCGAATTTGCACTGTCATATGCGTAAAATAATTAACTATAATAGCAAGTTTTCTCAGTTTTGGTAGTGATCTAGACTTCACCAACTGGATCTCTGAAATTATCAAATTTTTAGGCTGTTACCAGACAAAAGTAATACTTTTCTTCTCTTTTTAAAGCTATGATGGGACAAAGTTGCAACATTTAACTATTACGTTGCATTTGCTAGTCTTTTTATATATAATTTAACTTGAGAAACCGAATAGCAACAATAGTTTTTACATAGAAAAACTTGTAACCTAAAGCCAAATATATAAATTTGTCTTTTGTTCACTGAGCTGCGATTATAGCCTTAAATATCTAGTTTCCTATTATACAATGGTGAACAGGGTTATTTCGCTTTATACTAAATTTTGATGTCAGTATGGTTACGTTTAAAATTTTCATGAAGCGAAATCACTGTTTAACTAAATCAGTGTAAACATTTAGTTTCCAACGAACCCGTTTTTTAAAATCTTTATAAAAATATTCGTGTTAGTCTAATGACAGTTGATCATAGATAATTAGATTGGTCAACTTTATTCGTTGAATTTCTACTGTGAAAATACTACAATCTCCACAAGTCCCTCATACTAATTCTCTGGATTTGTTTATTTCTAATAATATTGTTTTAAAGAAATAATTTAACAACTAGAATAAGGCAATTCTAATTATTTTCGTATAACATAATTACCTTATTATTGTTAGTTGTTACGAAATCTTGACCAGATTTGTAGAGTAGTTACTGTGTGTATGTATGTGCAGTTGTAGAAAATAGACAATATCTACATGTGATCAAATATAGTTATGTATTACTTCAATTTAGTACCCTTAACATCAATAAAGTAGAAAATGGAGGAAATTACTCAGAGAAAAGTAATAGAGTGTAAAATAAAAAGGGGTAAAGTGTTGTGTGAAACGAATGAGATACAGGAACTAAAAGTCAATGTAACAATATTTTTTTGTTATTTAACTATATCTTAAGGTTGTATATATTAGATGAAAAGACAAACCCTTTTACTTTGTATATGCACTTGTATTATCTTTAGAAATCGTCTAGCTTTTACCATTCATCGAAGCCTCCTACTTTGTTATGAATCCAGGTTGACTGGTACGATACGATATCGCTATATGGTAAAAAAATGTCAATTTCAGTTCTCTTTTTAACAAAAAAGGTGAAATGAACATGTTCCTATACTAGACAAGATAAACGATGGTCAAACGTTTACGTAACGTACAACCTGTTGTCATCATGTATTACATAAAGGTCACTAGATATCCTACTTATGTTGGGACTTTGGCTAATTACCCCGTTACCTGTCCGTGATAACAGTATTTCTCGGACGTTACTTAGTTCATATGTTGACGGATTTTATATCATGAATGATGTAATATAATGTGCATTCCATGTATTTGTCGAAGTTAAGCCTATTGAGTCTTTTTATTATGTTATTTAAATTTCCTTTTACAGTCAGCAAACCATTTTAACCGGTTGTTGTTTGTTCACATAACACATTTTACAGACACATACACCACTATAAATTCATCATCCTTTAGTTTTTAAAAACTATTTTGGTTTTTGAATTTTGACCTTTACACGATGAAGGAACAGTTCTTATTTTTTACTTCACCGCTGTTATTCTACACGACTTAACATATTTTTCAAATGTGAAGTGTTTCAATGCAATCAGAGCAAATGTATTCAGGGTTCAGAGGCTTTCGCCTTTTTATTATTATTTTGAAATTAGTTTTATAAAAATGTTTCGCCAAGCTAATGGCTCTATATCAACTGTATGTATGAAAGATGTCTTCAAACAGACATGATAGGTGGAGTGACATAAAAGCTTAATGTATAAAATTTGGCTATTAAATTGTTCGGTTGTTTATTAGCTCAGCTCTGTTGTTGGCTGTCAGATGATATTTTTAAGAAGTACATAGAAGTTAATTAATCAGAATTTTGAATTATTTTGACATTTTGTCCCACAGAAAAATTACATCATATCCTGTACAGGTGATATGTAGTTATTGCGTAAGGTTGTCCAGACACACACACAGCAACCATTTTATGTGCTTCTGGTAAGTCCAGTGCTTATTCTATTCGTAGACATATCGTTGTTAGCACAAATTAACAACGGAATTTAGAATTCATCGTTTAAACACAAATTAACTATTGATATTTACTAGATTTATACTGATGATTGAAGAATGGTTTCTGTTGATGCGTTCGTAATAAAAGAAATAATTAACTCATTCATCAAATACTTGAGTATGAATCACGCTCTAAATATGAGGACTAGTCATACTACGTGGTTGACG